TGTGCAGGAGAAATCAAAATATGTCACCTAAACTCCTCAAAATAACAATGGTCTTCCGCATTGCCACTACACTCCACCCCTTGTCATAGAGTATTTTACAGAACTGATATTCCTTAAATGAATGGGTAACCAAGTTTTCACCTACTGGCATCAAATTCCGATTTGGACCAGTCAGTATAAGTATCCTGCTATTTTACTAAAGGCATCTACCGAGTGCATCAACACTGGAATAGTGGTGTGAGGTTTAGAAATAAAAGATTGTCATCTACAAATAAAACCAATTTGCGTTCAACTGAGTTGTGTAGAAGTGCCAGACTTTGATAAAGACCCTGGTTTTGCCCTTTCAGTCTTGGAGTGTGGACACAGGCCTTGGTACCAGGAGCTGTGTTATCGGAGCCAACTTGGGGTCTCTCTGCTGTTGCCTCATGCTAGCTCCCAACAGTAGGGGAAGAGTTTTTATCATTTTGCTTGCTATGTTATGCTTTTATACTATGCTTTTGTATTTGTTTAATTCTATTTGCTAATTTTGTATCTTATATTCCTGTTTAAATCTGTTTGCTAGAGTTAACAGTAAAGCTTAAAATCACCTTACCTGCTGGTGTGTTCATTGTCTCTGGAGAAGAACCAATTGCCTGGGCACTTGATCTCTGCCTTCACAATTGGCAATACAGTAAACTGCTCACACTCCCACTACTTTTTTGCCCTTGGTCATTCTGTTTCTCTGTTTAGGTAAGGAAGTATCTCTGAAATGACCCAATGGGTCCCTGGCTGTCTAGTGAGCTTTATAACTAAGCAGGGCTTGAATTTTGATCCAACACCCTGTGATTACTCGCTTCGGCATATGAATAACTTGCTGCTGCAAATTTTTCCCAGTTTCTGTTTTGTTAGGGAAAGAATGTCATGAATACAGCACAGCTTGTGTTTTCTCTGACTTTTTAATTCAGTGAGGCAGAAGTTGATTTCCTTATTTCAGAGGGCTCACTCCTACATGCCATTTACCATTTACTGTGGTAGTGAGGATAGCTAATGGAAGATTCACCACATTAATTTAAAGTATCTGTCACTTGATCACATTTCTCACAATGTTACCATCTCTTAAAGTACTTAGACACAAATTTTAAGGGTTTTAAAGTTTTTTTAAAAAATAATAATGGATTATTTTTAATTCAGAAACAAATAGCTCAATACATGACTGCCATATGCTACCTAAGATCTCCAAATACTGATGCCACATAAAGGGATTCTAACAGCACCAAAAAGGCCTCTGGAAAAAATACTCAGAAACAATCGAATGACAAACCAAGTACAGTGGTACCTCAGGATACGAACTTAATCCGTTCCGTGACTCTGGGCGTATCCCAGGTTGGTCGTAACCCGATGCAAATTTCCCCATAGGGTTCAATATAAATCCGGTTAATCCATTCCGCCCTCCGAATTTGG